GAACTGTGAGGCTCTGCCACTGTTTCATCCCACGTCAGCATGCACCTTCCTCCTCTGACAGGCTGATGCCTGTCTCCAAACACCCAGAAAAGGGGCTCTCTCTCCCACGATGACATGCTTCTCACTCCACAGGCCGGTGCCTGCGGGGTGAGCACCCCCAGAGGGGTGCCCTCTCCCCGGACTGCCTCTCTGCAGTCCTCAGTCTCCTGGAAGTCAGATGGTCAACCGGACAGAGCCTCCGGCCGCAGCCGTGAAAAGACTCCCTGTTCCTCTTTTTGCCTCAGTTTTTATAGGGTTCTGGTCAGTGATTTTTGTCCTCTCATCCAACCAGATGCTGCAGTTTGCAGTTGATACCTTATTTGGCATGAAAAATCATATTGTTCTGAAGTATTGCATATTTTTTAATGTCAGTCCAAGTCAACTGCCCGTAACCGGCCTCCGCCCCACTGTGATCCAGCCTTGGATTCTACTTCCTCTTTTCTAGAAAACTAAACCATCTGAATACATAACGAAAATAGAAAGAAACTCACATCTGACTGAAATATCAAAATTCCATCTTTGCTTTTTACCAGAACAACCAGAATTACACACTGATTTCACACAAAATTATCAATGCCTTAAAGTAAAACATAAAACATAAATCTTTATGTCTGGGACCCGTATTTACAGTTTCGCTGACAGTCCTCATATTAACAACACGCCCAACATTTACACACACACACACACAACGTGATGCGCATGTCATGAAATGGTAATTGGGGAGATAGGACATTAGGAAATATTGACGCGCCGCATGCCATGCGTTTGTTGCAAGATAGGGGCTTATGTGAGCAAGGGAAATACTAACTCGCTAAAGTGACACAATGTTTCCCTGTAATTTCAAAACTGACATATGAAAGCTAACATGGGGATGAGGATGGCATTTGTGAATCTACCATGTATCTGATTTGATGTTCTTGTCTATCCTTTATGAATGTGTCATAAACTAAAGTTACCAAATGAAAATGGTGATGTGCTATAACTTTTTTTCATGCATTGTGTTGAGCCTATATTGAACATGTGCCTTGTTGTGTGTCATTGTGAGCAATTTACCCGGGGGAGAGAGAAGATGCCTTTTAAAAAAATACATGTAAATAAAGTAATTACAATGCTTTTGTCATCATTTTTCATTAATTCTCTGATTGTTCTAATGTTCAATTACTATTTACACATTGCAAAAAGGAACATCATTTGTATATCGTTTTAAGTGCTAAGAATAGTGTTAAGATTTTGATGTTTTTTATGTAGTTTTAAGATCCTAAGCACAACAAAGGGGACATTTTTCTAGCAGTGGTCTCTCACCAAGTGTACATGTCGTGTACTGGTATATGCACGAATTATTATGACACTAAAATGAACAAACCAGGAGTAAATGTAAGTCAGTAGTACCAAACTAGCAAGTCAAGTGCTTGTAAAACACCCAAACCAATACCAACACCAAAACCAAAACCAATAAAATTAAATTAAAGCAAACATCATAATTATCAAAAGGACATTCCTTCCCTTGCTATGTTGGAGTTTGCTCAAAGGAAAATAAACATGAGGCGTATCTGTCCTTGGAGACTTGTTTTTTATCCAGGCTGATGATCTAGGCCGTGTCCTTAAATCCAAGAGAAATGTCTCTTTTGTACCATTCGTTTTACTTGTTTTGAGGTGAAGGATATTTTTTTTAACCTGCTTATTTTGGTTGAGTCCGCTGGCTGTATGCTCTTCATATTGTGCTGTCTTTTTTTGTTAGGTTGTCTTCTGTCTAAGGTGCAGCTCACGACTATCTACACCAGCCCTGTGAGGTGTTTTTTAATGTCGTCTGCTCTGCACTTTAATCCTGACAAATAACCACCCCCTCTTTCTAATCTGTGCTTTAATATGATACATTTCTACTGTTTTAGTCCATATTTGAAAAATGTCAGATTCAGTCAAGAGGATTAAATCCCCCTTCAAAGCCCCCCCTTCCTTTTTTCCCCTTATGATTAAGACATGAGCGCTGGTTGCACTTATCAAGAGGCCCTGCCGTTTTCTTCTTCTGCAGGTCCAAGGCCAACCGCCTGCAATAAAAAGGATTAAGATGTGCTGAGGAGCGCTAAGGCTTCATTTAAGTTAATTGAATGTGTTTATTTCATTGGTGACATCTATTAATGGACAACACCTGCTATAATCGCACCTTAACGGAAAGCACATTAAAAAATCTATTTACAAATATCAGGAACAGCTGCTCTGTTTGTACAGGTGAGTCCAGCCAGAAATGACAATCACTATTTCTCCTGCTTTTGAAAATGGGATTTGTTGATGGCTAAAGGGTTCAGCTCAGTAATAGAAGGTATTTCAAATGTTATAAAACATTATTACTCACCGTTATCTAAGGAAAAATGGTCAAACCTCCATATTAGGGTCTGAGAATCCTTTTTTCCCCTCGTTCTCAAGGTAAGGTCTCTCCGTTCTTATGTGCCAGACAAGTATCTGGTAGAGAAAAAATGTATGGAAGCACAAAACAACAGCATCATTAGTTACATCATGTTCCCTTAATGCACTCATTCACTCTGTTCTCCTGTTCAGCTCCCACTTTGCGTCATGATCTTCAAAACATTCAGTTCCAGTTATAGTTCCAACAGTACACGCCACTACAGAGCCTGTGTATGTGTGTACAGAGCTAGTTGAGCATGAACCTTGCATTAGAAAGGACTGTGCCGGAGTGTGTTATCTTGTAAGTAAGCCCTCTGAGCTTGGCCTGTATGAAGTCTGACCATAGGATAATGGCTACCTTCATAGCCAACTGAAAATGTTTCAGTACAATATGCATGAGATTTGTTTGTCTTTGGAGCTGCGCTATAGTTCTTTGCACAGTTCTTCTGTGATTGTGCTATCAAGCCTGGACACTGGCTTGCTTTGGCCTCTGAGACCAAACAAACATCCAGGAAAAGGACAGCAAGGGGAACAAGAGGAAAAGGGAAAAGACAGAAGGTGTCAAGCTCATTTTTCCCTCTCTGTGCTGGAACCTTCCTCCTTTTCATCTCGCCATCACAGTGGTCATGAATTATGCATAGGGTGGTTCTGAGACGTGCCAGGAGCCCAGCCCCACTTTGCTCAGGTGTAGGGGGAAGTTAATGATACTGCTTGCATTTAAAGTGGTAGGTTATAAGGAAGAGAGATACCCAAGCATGTTTTTGCATTTTCTTCTTCTTTCCCTCCTGTCCTTCTGTCCATCCCTGCGCTCATCTGTAATCAGTGTGACTTCCCTACCCACCCACCACCCAACTCCAATTTCGCTCTCTCAGCCGTTCCCTGAATCCCCTCTTTTCATTTACTCCTCTGAATGGCTGGGGGTAGCAGGAGAAAGACCTGACTGAAAGAAAGCCCCCCCCAAAAAAATGTGTGTCTGTGTAAGGGTGATCGTGGTGTTAGCTAAAGCCCTCTGGCTGACTCCTCTTTGCTCAGAGAGAAGCCTTAGTGAAGTGACCCAGACCAAGGGCCTTAAGCAGGAACAGCGGAGTGGGCGTGGAGATGAGCGTTGCTGCTGCAACCCTCGAGCCTCTCAAACGTGTGCACACGAGCGTGTGGGCAATGTGAGAACTATAATCAATGATTTCCAACTTTTTAGCAACATATTTACACTACATTTTGAACATTAGCAAATTGTCATGTTTATATCTCATTTCAGCCAAGAAATGGATTTCTTTCCTAGAATCTGATGATGAGAAACAGGACTGAAGGGGGAGGATGCACAAACTACCCCCATAGATGATTTCTTTTCAGCTCAGAATGCTTAATCAACTAAATTTAAGGTTTCCTAAATGATCAAGTAAATGAACCTCACTGTTGCTAACAACCACTAATTATGTAAAAGAAATAAAAGTGTCTTTGCATAAAGAAAGTGCTGTGATTCACATTGGTCATTTGGTTCAACTGTGGGAAATGAAACGTACTGGGTCAGAGGTTGGTAAAATTACTGGTCTAGTTTTATCTGTGATAATGGAGATCTACTCAAGATTAACACTTGTAGTAGTTAATGTTTTACTAACCAGGAGGATGTGGAATGCAAAATTTACCGCTTTATCATCTAGGAGAAGATGAAGAGTAGGTGGGGGTTATGGCCTTAAGGGCACAAGCAGATGTTTTGGGGGGTGAATACCATTTGGAATACTGCATCTGTTTTTTTTTCCAGTTAACCAAGCTAGCAGGTGGTGGGTCCTCCTTTTGTTCTGTGAAAGCCGACATAAACCCTAAACTTATTCATCAACACAGAGTATTTTAATTCATCGCAGAGCTAGCAACTCTCTAATATAGATGAATAATTTTCCACAATACCAATGTCCATATTTGCTTTCTTGCTGAGATTTGAATTCCTAATAGTAAGTATGAAGCTACAGGTGACAGTTTAAATATAAAAACCAGAAAGAGGGAGAACCATTAGCGCCATCTAAAAGCAATAGCATCTGCCTATAAATCTTCTCATCACACTCTCAGCAAGAAAGCAAATACCCTACAATGTCAAACTATTTAATAATTTGTGATCTTGTGTCTTATAAGAGAATCTCATTGGTTCACACACCCTCATTGTGTTTTTGGTTAAGAGTAGTATCAAGGTAGTGTGCTTGCAGCAGTGTTATAAGCTAAATTATCTTTCACATAAGCTATGAGTAAAATAATAAGTGAGTAAAATAACATTGTAGATTTCATTCCACTTTTTTTTCCACTGAATCTGAATTATTGGTAAAATATGGTTCCTACATGGCTGACCACTTAAAAACACTACAAAACCTCTTTTTAAAAATCTCACAAACAGTTTAGCAAATCCCTTATATACTAACTGGTCAAATCAAGCTGCTTAACAGCAGTAAATGTGGGAGGAAATTACCTTAGTGCAGTTGGCTGCTTTAGGCTCCAGGTCATTGAGTGTGACAAGTCCCTGGAGCAAACTGCTCTCCTGGTAGCCTCCCTTCACCCCACGAAGCTTAAAATACGCCTGTGGCTTGAAGAGAATGACCCTCAGGTTGATTGCAAAGCCAGCCATGTCGATGGCAAAGGGCCGATGGGGGTCGAACACTACCTCCCAGCCGTAGACCTTTCCAGCTGCATTGACCTTGGGGGATTCGTACCGCAAGCCACCCGCAAAGGCCACAGGCCACACTGAAACTTTCTGAGTCGATCTCATCTAACAAGAGGAGAGCCAGGAAAAGAAATGGAGGAGGGAGGAGAGTCATTAGTCATTTGAAAAAGTGTACATGATAGTGAGACATAGTATTTGAGCATCAGCTGCCAACATTACAAAAGAGCATGGGTGGAAGATTTTTTTTTGAGCTGCTGCTCTTATACATTTTGAAAGATGATGAAAACTGACCAAGCCATTGTGTCATGTGCAGCTGACACACTGATAGATGAAGGGAGATCACACATATTGTTCAACAGCTGCCCTACAATGAGATAATTAGACACAACCATCTTTAAAAGGAGTAAATGCAGACAGTGCCAAGAGGGTTCGAGGGAGCCGACTCATTAGAGTAAATGGCTCTGGTTGCTGCTTAGCTGAGGAAACTCTTTAAGGTAGAGCCTCTCCATCCTCTCTGTCGTCCCCCTCCTCCTCCTCTTTTTTTTGTCCTTTAATCTTCCACTATGAAATGATCTTGCCACCCTTTCCTTTGTCTCCTTCTCAGTGAGTCTTTGCCATTCTGGCAAGAGCAGCTGCAAAAATTAAAGGCAACTTTTTATAATGAGGAAAGAGGAAGGTTATGAAACAGCAGTCATTTAATCATACTCAGTGCAGCGGAAATAATGATAGTGGTGCCTCTGGTGGACAATGTATTTACAGTAAAGGTGTGTGCAAGTACTACATGTACAGTTTGTAGTATGTCTAAGTAAAAAGCTTCCATGCAAATACAATAAGAGAATGCATGTGGAAAATGTATATATAATGCAAATCACATGCATATATCCCTTTTCATATGAGCTTCTGTGCTATATTAGTGTGTGATTTTATGGGCTGCTGTGTTATGGTCAGTTCAGGGGATCAGAGAGTAGCAGAGTCTGTACAGCATGCAGCAGGCTGGGGGCTTATGGGAATCCATGGATTTGCGCTTCAGGGGAAATGATTGTGCCAGGCACCCAGATTAGATTTGGCAGGCTGTTTGATCTTAATGAGCTCTGGGTGTTAATGGTTGAAGAGCAACCGAGTGCTTACATGCATGTGTCCATGGGATTTTGCCGCTATAAATCTGTACACAGAACCTTTTTTTTTTTTTTGGCCAACACTATCTGTCATCACATTTTTTTCTGTCTATTATATGGCCTACATATGCTACACCTGGGTATACCTTACAGAAATTGCTCTTGGATGCTGATCAGCTCCACTATGCGCTTTCCTCAAGGTAATCTTAATTGTTGCCTGGTCTTTTGTAGCAAGGACACAACTGAAGTCATCACATTTTTTTCTGTCTATTATATGGCCTACATATGCTACACCTGGGTATACCTTACAGAAATTGCTCTTGGATGCTGATCAGCTCCACTATGCGCTTTCCTCAAGGTAATCTTAATTGTTGCCTGGTCTTTTGTAGCAAGGACACAACTGAATAACCAACTTGCCTAAAAGAGACCTGCCTACTTCCCTCAAAAATACGCTACCAGTCAGACGTGTGGATAAAATTTTCCAGTGAATTAAATTGGAAAGTGCATCCAAACCTTTGACTGGTAAATCAAGATTTAAATGGTAAAACAAGCATAAATCAACTCTTTGCAGGCAACGTCAAGATGCTTGTCACTTTATGATCTATGCTGAAAATGTGAAAATGTGTTCTGTCTGCTGCCTCTTAAGGGAATATAAGCCAGAGTAAAACAGTGCAAATCCCTCTTCTGCTGGCAGCCAAGCAAATGAAAATACAGCAATGATCCTCTTGCCCCATTCTAATGAATACAGTAGGATGTGTTTGTACAGAGTTTTACTGTTTGTTGTTGCTGCAATTTCTGCACACATTTGTATGTGCATTTAAGTGCTATTTCTTGCTCCAGTAAGAGAGAGGCCTACAGAGATGAAGTGTCCGTGTTTCAAAATGGCCAGAACAGCCATACAAAGAGAATAAATCCTACTTTCTAATAGAGAAAATACAGCAGGCAATCAAGTACATTAATCAGTTCTTAAGGGGAAAGTAAAGGTAAGAAAACAAATTATTGCTGAGTCTGTGGATTATACTATTTATCCAAACAACAGCAGATTTAAATTCCATTCATTTGTTTAACTTATTTTAACAAGTTAAACAAAACCAAAACATTTTTAACCAATAATAAGCAAATAAAAGTGGTTGGCATCATAATTTACACTGAAAATGCAGTTAGTTTTCGAGGTGAACATATATGATAAAGTAGAACAAGGTGTAATATCACTGGTTCAGTTATACTGTTATAGACTAAATTGCATTTCCATTACTAATTATGTTTCTTAAGGATTTTCCTGAGCGTGGGCCTAAATATATTATAAAGCAATGTCACTGTAGACATTGATTGATAATGGATGTTGTCAGTATCATCTTGCCCTATTAATGACATTCTTTATTTTGTGTTTAGTCCATTATCTTGAAGTGGTTGAAAGCCTTCCTAAAGGCTGGAATGAGAGCAGAGAATGTTGGTTAAAAATAGCAGATTAAATAACATGTGACATGTTTGGAAAGGAGGTATACATAATATATGTAGTTCTTTACAGGAGTGTACTTCAACAGTAGGAAATGATTTTCCCACTTTATGATGCAAGTTCAACAATTCTGGTCTGAATTTTTTTCAGACCACTGTGTGAAGCAAACTACGTGTGGAAAAAAGATCTGTGTATCAGCTGAGATGAATTCCTGTTGCTCCAAACTGTATGTCACTGCTGTGCTGCTGTGAAAAAAACTAACTGTGGAGAGTGTGATTAGCAGTTAGCTATGATGTTGTCTCTTCACTTTTAGGCTTAATTAGTGTGCCACCTGCCAACATGTAATGCCAATTCCTGAATTACAGGTTTTGCATGCATGATTTTTTATTTTTACTGTCTTTTAAACAAGTTGTTGTCCATTTGGAATATTACTAAAATATGACACAAAAATCTGAGAGAAATGACTTTAGTGCTTTATATCATCTGAATGACACTTTGCTGCAGCCTGTAATGCAAACAGTGGGGGAGAGGCGAGACTATTTAAATTGTAAAAGTTTTAATTCTTCCAAATAAATAAATAAAGCATTATTTTGCTAAAATCAATGTCATTCCCTTTCACCATCTGGCTCTAGGTGATTGTAGAGTATGTACTCTGTGGTCATTGAATGGGTTGTTGCCTCATTAAGTTGACCTTTTACACTCAGGTAAGCTTTACAGGCTAATAATGCATATAACATCGGGACTGATGTTTGTAGTTCATTTGGGCGGAAAAGCTTACAAATGTTTCATGGAAATTAATGCAGCGGTCACCTACTGTGGAGCTGCTGCAGATTTTACACTACCAGTGATGTCACAGATTGATCAGTCTCTCGCTGATCATTTTTGTAATTTAAATGAATTTTTTCAGCAAGACATTTTTGTATTTACTGCCTCCCTTCAGCCTATACGCAGTATCACAAGCAATGAACTCTATTGTAAACATATTATAGAGAGAAAAAGTACAAATTTTCATTTTTAGATTTGGATAAATTCTTTTGTTGCAAATTAAACATGTCACAATCATCCCTGCATGTGTTTTTTATTGTCATTTCATCTTTATTGATGATTTAACTATTTTTGCTATGTAGTACAATATCCTCATGTGGGTTTTTATGCACACAGCTAATCAGTGTTTACCTAGCTCTATTTTTTAGTGTTAATAGTTAATAAACTGTTGTAGTTGTATTTGAAAATATATTGCCATTACTCAAAATCAAAAAATTGGCTCACTTTACATAGAGGAGGACAAATTAATATACATATTCTTAACCCATGGAGCAAGGGCATGTCATTCTTTTAACCTTGTCTTGACATTGGAGGAGTCATTAATCTGTTTTCAACCTATTGAGACACTGTATTTTTACTATGGTATCAGCAATATACTGTAGTTGCAGTCAATTCTCTGCTTTCTTTCTGTCCATTGGGCTGTCACACGTTCTCTTTTTTTCTCGTCTCTTTCCTCCCTGCCACCATTTCTTGCCCCTTCAGGGCTGTTACTCTAGCCCATAAATAGGCCTGTTGGAGGTGATGGAAGGCCTCTGAAGGAGATGGAGCACTTCAGCTGATTCCCAGAGAAAGGTAATGACAGACCCCGTCAATACCCAGTGTTCCATTTACTACGGACCCCGTCTGCACTACTAACAAGACTTGAGGCTAATTCTCAGAGGACCTAGACCGTGTCTGCTCAGGTAATTCAGCTGATGTCAAGATGGATGGCCTGAAATGTACAGATTACTGTACATGCCCAAACTTCTCCCCACCAGCTCCAGATTCCTGCCTACCAAGAACTAACCCCACACACCCACTCTGCTACTCTTTCTATAGTACCTAATGTACCACAGATGCCTATCATACTTTATGGCAAGGACGTACCATATAATATAATGTATGTTTGACTTAGTCTGTACTTCACTGAACTAAAGTTATTGGGATGGATCCAAAAGAAAGCATGTAATTTAAAAAGTTAACTTTTACATTTGTGAGCATAATGCCATACAACTCCAAAAGGAATATAGTATATCACTTTTTTTTTAAACAACTACATACAATGTGTACTAAAATTTCAATATACAATATTGCAATATATAATGTTGTCCGCCTCAACCTTTCCTCATCTATTTATCTTTTCCTGTCCTATTTCAATCCAATCATTCCTCTGTTAGCAGAATGGCTGCTATTGTTTTAATATTCAAGAATTTAAGAGGTGGATGGGAGCTTGAGAATTTTAATAGTTGCACAGAATTGGCATATATACAGTACAGAGTCCCCAGAGGAACACAGTGGGATTTTTTTAAAATTCTTTTGTGCTCCCGTATTGTTTTTTTCCCCTGATCCATGCAAGTGGTTTAGATCCAGTGACAATTTATGTGATGCATTGCAGCAACATCATCGTCTCATTGCTACAGTTACAGTGCCTTGCGAAAGTATTCGGTCCCCTTGAACTTTGCGACCTTTTGCCACATTTCAGGCTTCAAACATAAAGATATAAAACTGTAATTTTTTGTGAAGAATCAACAACAAGTGGGACACAATCATGAAGTGGAACGAAATTTATTGGATATTTCAAACTTTTTTAACAAATAAAAAACTGAATAATTGGGCGTGCAAAATTATTCAGCCCCTTTACTTTCAGTGCAGCAAACTCTCTCCAGAAGTTCAGTGAGGATCTCTGAATGATCCAATGTTGACCTAAATGACTAATGATGATAAATAGAATCCACCTGTGTGTAATCAAGTCTCCGTATAAATGCACCTGCACTGTGATAGTCTCAGAGGTCCGTTTAAAGCGCAGAGAGCATCATGAAGAACAAGGAACACACCAGGCAGGTCCGAGATACTGTTGTGGAGAAGTTTAAAGCCGGATTTGGATACAAAAAGATTTCCCAAGCTTTAAACATCCCAAGGAGCACTGTGCAAGCGATAATATTGAAATGGAAGGAGTATCAGACCACTGCAAATCTACCAAGACCTGGCCGTCCCTCTAAACTTTCAGCTCATACAAGGAGAAGACTGATCAGAGATGCAGCCAAGAGGCCCATGATCACTCTGGATGAACTGCAGAGATCTACAGCTGAGGTGGGAGACTCTGTCCATAGGACAACAATCAGTCGTATACTGCACAAATCTGGCCTTTATGGAAGAGTGGCAAGAAGAAAGCCATTTCTTAAAGATATCCATAAAAAGTGTCGTTTAAAGTTTGCCACAAGCCACCTGGGAGACACACCAAACATGTGGAAGAAGGTGCTCTGGTCAGATGAAACCAAAATCGAACTTTTTGGCAACAATGCAAAATGTTATGTTTGGCGTAAAAGCAACACAGCTCATCACCCTGAACACACCATCCCCACTGTCAAACATGGTGGTGGCAGCATCATGGTTTGGGCCTGCTTTTCTTCAGCAGGGACCGGGAAGATGGTTAAAATTGATGGGAAGATGGATGGAGCCAAATACAGGACCATTTTGGAAGGAAACCTGATGGAGTCTGCAAAAGACCTGAGACTGGGACGGAGATTTGTCTTCCAACAAGACAATGATCCAAAACATAAAGCAAAATCTACAATGGAATGGTTCACAAATAAACATATCCAGGTGTTAGAATGGCCAAGTCAAAGTCCAGACCTGAATCCAATCGAGAATCTGTGGAAAGAACTGAAAACTGCTGTTCACAAACGCTCTCTATCCAACCTCACTGAGCTCGAGCTGTTTTGCAAGGAGGAATGGGCAAAAATTTCCGTCTCTCGATGTGCAAAACTGATAGAGACATACCCCAAGTGACTTACAGCTGTAATCGCAGCAAAAGGTGGCGCTACAAAGTATTAACTTAAGGGGGCTGAATAATTTTGCACGCCCAATTTTTCAGTTTTTTTATTTGTTAAAAAAGTTTGACATATCCAATAAATTTCGTTCCACTTCATGATTGTGTCCCACTTGTTGTTGATTCTTCACAAAAAATTACAGTTTTATATCTTTATGTTTGAAGCCTGAAATGTGGCAAAAGGTCGCAAAGTTCAAGGGGGCCGAATACTTTCGCAAGGCACTGTATAATTACAGCTATAGCCTCTTTCAGTTAGCCTCAGCAGCAGCTGGTTATAGCCTACTGACACAACGTAGAGAGCTAGGTTAACTAGGTCTGTAACTAGATGTACTATACTCTGAGTAGAAGCAGCAGAGTCAACTGTATAATGCATACTATTTTATAGGGTTATTTTTGGTGATTAATGTGAACACTTTAACGTGTAAAAAAAAATTAACGATATTATGCAGCATCCCTTTTTTTAACTTCCTGTGGCTATGTGCTAATGCTTCCACTGTCTTCCTGCACTTCCAGTCGCTCATGCTTACTCATGCTAGTTATGGAGAAGAAAAAAAGACAGCATTTTAGATGGAAAATTCTACTTTATAAGGTTATCGGGTGGTGCTTGAGAAAAAACAAAAGTAGTTTGGCTATTTTTTTTAAAACGGCCCATAACACGGTCATGGAGCAGGAGTCCTCTTTCATATTATTCCATGCTTTGCTTCAGTCCTATTTCCATCCGAAAGCCATGACCTCATCATCAGACTGGCTTGTACTAACCTTTTTCATTAACAGTTGTAGGCTTTTAACTGGGTCCAGCTTTAGCTTCTGATTTCTGACTAGTTTTGCCTTACTGAAACTTTAAATACTTTGGAAAATTTGTCAGTCTTTTTTCGCATTTTTGCTCTCTGATTGTGACTTAATTAGCCTAGCGGCCTGTTTTAAGTGTATTTAATTTCTCTAATTTTAGTCTAACATGTTTTTGTAAAAGGCTAGTTGTACAAAAAGTATTGACCTTGGACTTTTTATATATTATTCATTTAATCAATTTCTTTCATATGTAAATGTGGCACCAGGTTTGTCAAAATAGGTGCCGGTCACAATTTGAGAGGTGCTGGATCTGGATCTGGCTTGTTCCAGCAGAAATTAACCCCTGGCTGTGAATAAAACCGCAGAGCGCCACTACTCAGAGGCATGTGTGCAACATTTTCAGACTGTTGCAAAGGAATGGAAAAATCAAAGAAAAGTCAACCATTGGCACAGACAGTGCTTGTAATATAATAGCAGCCACAAGACTACTTTCATATGAGCACCTGCCTTGCATGGCACACAGTTTGCAGAGAACAGTTTTTCTTCATGACAGTGGATTTGACAGTACTTTGACTAAATGTCACAAAATTATTGGCCACTTCAAGCACAGTCCTTAAGATGCTCGAGAGTTAAGACAATAGTAAACTGTGCATAAACAAAAAGAAGAATCACTTGTTCAAGACATGACAACCAGATGGATCTCCACATTGGAGATGATCAAATGGATCCAACAAAACAAATCACTGATGGTCACCTTGGCCCAGCAAGACAGTAGACTTCCTACGCTGACAGAACCTGAGCTGGAAAAGCTGCAGAGGATGGAGGACCTACTTGAAGTTGCAGGTAAATTATTCTCCTTCTCTCTCAAACATAGTTTTGGTGTTTGTTTTGAGTGCAACTATATTATTTGCGGCTGTATGTTTGCCGTGCTGTGTCTGTACCTGAAAACACAATGCCCTGTGAAAGGCTGTTCTCACTCTCAGGCCACATCATCCTAAAAAAAAAAGAGCTACTCTTTCTTCTGATAATGTGGACAAACTGGTCTGTCTCAGTAGTTGGCTCAAAGTAGAAGGGGAGTAGGTTCCTTAGATTCAAAGGGGGTTTGAAATATTGATGCTGATCCATCGTGCACCGGCTTTCACATCACAGACAGCGAGCTGGTAAAACTGAACCACTGTGTACCTCTGAAAGATTAGTTAACAAAAGCATTTTTGTTTTTTGTTGGTGTTTTTAATACAGTGGCCTCTCTTTTGGTTTTTGGCTTCTGTTCATCTAGCCTCCTTTGAAGTCACTGAAATTCATCTTCAATTGTACTCGTGCAAGTGGTATTTTTCTGGGGAAAGCATAAACCCCAGTTTGTCTAAAGTCTAAGATAAAATTGTGCTATTAAACAAATACTGGGACAAACAAACACAGTTGCACTCACCAGAGATGACTGGACCTCTCTCAGTAATCACAGTTACCTCGGTGTCCCTTTAAGGTACATTTAGAACCAGTGGTGGGGCAGGTACTCAGATCATTTACTTATGTAAAAGTAGCAATACAATTCTGTAAAAATACTCTATTACAAGTAAAAGTCCTGCATTCAGAATGTTGCTTAAGTAAAAGTACAAAAGGATTACCATCAAAACATACTTAAAGTACTAAAAGTAATGCAGAATGCAAGTGAAATTTCAGTATAAATTTTTCTTTAAAAAAGCATTTTTTCCAATGTTGTTTTCTTACTGTTGCCCCTAGATATCAGTAAAGAACCTCTAAATGGTACCTTTTTAATTTTTACATATGCTACAGTATATAATCTCAGTTTGTAAAATAATATAAAATGATATAATAATATTTCTGGTGTAAAATGTCCTACATTACCGTAGTTTCCTTATTCTAGTGCTGTTACTACTACTCTTCTTTTTTCAAATGTTCATGTGAACATAGGAAAAAATATTATTTGAACAGCAATAAAAAATATTTTTTAAAAATTACACTCTATATAGTCTGTTAGGGTTTCGTCAGGGCTATTACATGCCAGTTTGAATTCACTGTGACAGCCCCAAAAGCAACAGCTCTAAATTATAACTTTGTCAATAAACAGGAACAATGTGATGTAGAATATCAGCACTAACCTCCTCAAACAGCTCTAGGCTGTATGCGTTGTCATCGTCAGCAAAGTATACAATTCCAGCTTGACTGCTGTTGGCGTTGAAGGTCTCCCTCAGCCACCGCAAAGCCAGATTTCTCTGCATGGTCCCCCTGGGATTTCCCCGCGCCTTATAGTTCTTGGGTGTCTCTACATTGAGGTGGGTGTAGTTAAGCCCAGTTTCTCGAAGGAACCGCGTGACAAGAGACGTTCTCCTTTGGGAGTCCTCTACCAGGATCCAGTGTAGGTTCGGAACATGGAGGAAGGTATTAGCCAGCCGTGTCAGCTCCGCCTTCTGCACCGGCCTACTATATGTGGGAGTGATGATGTGGATGGTAGGCAGCACATCAGACCACGGTGGAGGTCGTGTATACACATACTCTGTCCTCACAACTTCCACAATGTCCTTATCTGAGGCACAGTATTCCTTGGAGTCCTGCGCCTGGCCGCCAGCTTCCCTTTTGCCCTCAACACCATCATCTGCAGATTTGGGGATAAGAAGACATGTAAGGCATTAGTGCAACCTTGGGCTGCCCTTTGTATTTTTGCCTCAGGTGACTAAACCCAAAGGGGGTGAAGTGTACCTGAGAGCTGCTGGTGGTGTACTGCAAGCCTCTCTGGAATGATAAAGATCTCTTTTACTAGGTGGTGACAGGCTGCAAAAAGTGAAAGCAGGCACCATGAGAGGATAACACAGCTGATGGACAGAGAGACAGCGCAAGATGAGGGATGGGAGAGATGAGACTTGCTACACTATTCCCCCAGCATTACCTTTGGGCAGTAGACGTGCCCTGTTTTTATGTTCAGACTCCACCACAGACTCCCTCATTCTCTGCCTGCCCAGCCTCCACCTGTAATATAGCTTGCGGTGTTATTTTCCCGCAGTAAACAAATCCACGGGTTACTATACAGTATCTTGATGTATTAAGGCAGTCCTAGTGTTCACAGTCAAAATGCATTTTGCTTCAAAGATGCCTGAGCATATATAAAATTGCAGTGTTTTCTCTGAGCTGTTGTTCTCTATGGTTGTTACAGAGCACAAGCATAAGTGGGTATGAACTCTGCTATCAAGTTACCCTGGATCATAGATAATTCCACAGAAGATGGTTAAGAATCTCCACTCAAATGCTCATCCTTGCATTGGTGGTTACTACGCAACTATGCACACTGGTAATATCGCTTTTGGAAATCCAGGAAACACCAAACACAAATTAAAAATAGAAAACTGCTCATTTGCAAATATTTAAGTTGGAGCAAACTGAAATACATCTTTAATGGCTTAGAATGCTTAGTATCTATTATCAGTTTCTAAAGTGCTCTTTTTTGGAGATTTTCCCAGAGATATGCATGAAAAATTATAGAACTTTCACACTCTGAAGCAACTGTTATTTGGTTTTTGTCCAATATTGCATCCATGAACTCTGCAGATAAAGCCACAGACAATTTTCAGACTCAGAAAATTACTTTTGCTTTTGGCAAATGATACGTAATTTTAAAGGAACCTATATTTGCATAATGTCAGTGTAGTTCAGGACTTATATGATTTTGTTTTTGTATTTTAGGGTTTGTTTAAGGATGGAAAGCAGTGTTTCACCCTCCTGTCTAGGTCAATGGTTCAAGCCTGTTTGACCACAGTTAGCCTCACTGAGGCATGAGGTTGGGTGTGGACCAAAGTGTAAACACTGGTCATTCAGTCATAGGTGACTCTCCTTGCAAAGGCTGTGATATTTTGGCCATAAAAGGTCATGATGGATCGAATTTGGTGATAGAATCACTAAGGTCGTTCATTTTGTTTCATTGTGCCACAGCTAATGACCATTTTTGTCACTGTTCTTCCCGAGCTCCATTTGCATCTCCAACATAAAGAGGATTTTCCTGCAGCACATAGATTAACACAATCTGCTGATGGCCAGATGTTCAACACAGGCTGCCAGTGAGCACGCTGCCAAGGAAACTGTAGCTTCTCTTCTAAGAGCACACAAAAGGAAGCCTCTGGGGAGAGCTGGGTCAGATAGTGTTAGCAAAAAAAATGTGTTTTATACTTGACAGTATCCCATCAGACAACAAAACGACATTGTCCATTCAACTGTAGGTACCTTTACCATAAAATGTTGATATTTGGTGAGGGGAAGGTGTGTTGTGTGTGCTTTTAATGATTACCAGGTAAGCAGACATTATTTTAACTGTTTACACAATCTTTCAAAAAAAAAAAAAACATTATTTAAAATTATCTGTCAATTATCTTCTGTCTTGGGTCATTTGTATAAACCTGCTTGGCTTATTAACCTATGTATGTGCATTCATGACATTATAAGAAGAGCTCAATTGATCTGCTGCTGCTCTAATTTGGGTTTGTTTACTTTGCAACACACTTGACATTTTACGCTGCAGGGCTGTGGTCTCTGCAGGATGATTGTGTATTAATGACACAGACTAGGGTGCAAATGTGACATTACACGTGGAAGCAAGACATTCCACTGAGCTAACTGAGCAGACACATTCATCATTTCAGATTGCTGATTAAAGAAACTCTGGAATTAATTTGCACTGAATTTCAATGAGTAAAACTGGGGACTACTTTAGATGTGAATGGATACAATGAGTGTTCAACATGCTGCTGTACACTGAATGTGCGTTGTTGAGTGTCACACCCGGAAGGAAATATGGATCAACGGGCCAAGGCGTGTGAGTGCATAAGCTATGAATATTGTAAGAGAACATTTATCATAACATAATGTACTGGACAAGATATCAGCATAAAGAAAATGAAGGCAAGTTAGTATCAGCTGAACATTTAAACTGGCAGACTGAGTATGAAATAAAAATATCCACTGAATGAGTGTGTGCATGTGATGGTGACTTCAAAGTCTTCATCATATACATACACAGTCCACCCTGATGAGGTTTACAATGACTGGACAAGTGTTATTGAGATCTGATGAAGCTGATCATGGTCAGGGCTAGTGAGTACCTCTAACTGAATGGCCTGTTGTCTAAACCTGAAGTGCAGTGTTACATTTGAGGACCCACTTCAGATTTGATATTGCCGGTGGAGTGAAGTGTGGTGCATACCCTTGCGGATGGCGAGGAGTGGAGCTATAGCACTTTGGTGCCAAACGGTGATGAGCAGAGTCCAGGGTAACACGATCAACACGATGGCAACAATATCTCTTCTCTTCAGCATCTCCAGGATTGGTTTTTTGGCTTGGCATTACCTGGAAAAAAACAGATGGCCGTATTATCATTCTGTATGTTATAGCACACAAAGAATTCAAAATCAAATCCCTTTGGGAACCTTGAGAGAAATAAATATCTGTTTGTGTTTTTGAAAAAAAAAAATCCCACCAGATTCATTAAAGATTCAGTGGCACACAAATATGCTGCTGAATCTGAATTACTTGGAAATGGGAAGCACATTCTCAGGACCTTAATTATCATCAACTGCCCTAGAAACACCATATTAAGTGCTGGAGGACACCCATATTCATAAGGACTGAAATGGCTTTGAGGAAAGTGAAAAATAAGAACTCTAGTGGCACAGAAATTGAGTAATAGTCTACTCAGTGCTGTTAAGACAAAATAAAATATTCTTCTGCTAGAGATGCAGCAGCATCACAGCCTTACCAAAAGACATTAGAAATGAGACAATGGAGCAGGCGAATGCTGTTACATCTATTCAGAGGTTATAATAAAACAACTGTAAATAAGTGTGACACAGCCAAAAGAAGAAGCCACTGGAGGAGGTTAAGAAGCAGGGGTTGGTGCCCTCTGCCAACCGGATGAGCTCATAGGTGCCACCACTGACGATGAGGCCATACCATCAAATCTAGTGTTAACTATATGGAAGTAGATTTTGAGTGCTACTCAGTTTGCAAACCAGCATTTGAGAATGCGCTGACACAGATTTGTAAGTGCAAATATAGATTTGATAGTATAATCCAGGCCATGCGTGCTCTCGTTTCTGATTCTGTTCTTTCAGATTTTTTCCACTGGGGTTTGTGTGAAAGTCTGTCTTTGCCAAAAGTTTTGAAAGCACACAAAACAAGTCGCAAGCACTATTCAGTTTGCAAATCAGATTTTGACAGTCCCCAGGCATGGATTTGTAAGAGCAGAATCAGATTTAAGGGCGAAGGAGGATCCTCTCTACTCGCTACTACTTTGCAACTTATTTTGTGCACTTTCAAAACTTTTGGCATGGACAGACTTTCACACAACAAAGAAATCTGAGAGCACAGAATCAGAAATGAGAGCACGCACTGCCTAGATTATGTTCTCAAATCTGTATTTGCGTGCTCTCAAATGCTGAGTGTCCTCAAATGTTATGGCGTGGCGGGGATTTACTTCCATACAAGCTTTCATTGGCCAAATGGCTGGAAACGACATCACCAGACTGCAGGTTGACTATTTGGCAAATGTGCCATTCCCTCTAAGTCCAGCTCATTTGGTTCAGCTTTTGTATCCCTTTGAAAAATCCAATTACAGTATGAATGACATTATAGAGGCCTTGACTGAAATGGCATGATTGTTAGCTTCTTTAAAATGAATCATCTTTATTGCAAAGTAACAATTGGCTTTGCAATAAAACCATGGATAATTTTCCTAAGTAGCCAATGTCAGTAAAGGTCTACATTCAAAGCACTGTGTTTAGTGATCTAACAAATGTACTGAACACACTGAATGCATTTTTTTGCTCCATAAAACATTTACAGTGCTCTTTTTTAAGTTTTGACACCTACACAGTTTATATCAACCTTCAGTTGTCTTCTCCTCTCTCAGTTTCTTAATGCGACCTTTAATAGCACATGAACTCTTAAGCCACTAACTGCCACCAATTATGGTTTAGTGAACCATCAATTGTACTCAAATGTCTATGGTCAAACAAATAAAACAAATAGGATTGGGCCTTTAAAGGCCTGGAGCAAAAGAGGGCTTTAAACACTCTTCCTGATACACAAAATCAAATTAATCAATACCTCTGAACCAGTCTCAGCAAACATTATTCAACCAAATCATATAATAAATGTACAATAAAGGTGGTTTGTGTCTTTTATGTGGCATCATTATATTTCAGAATTTCCTATTATTGTGTTCACACCTTGTATTTCATGTCCACATGGCTCATTTACATTGAATTTTAATATGACAGACCTCTGCATCTCTCCCCAGGTTTGCCTCCCCTCCTCCTTAATAGGTTTCTGGCATGATGCCAAGCCCTAACTGGAAAAATGCAATTATTAACCGATCCGCTCAATTTAATAAAGGAAAGAAACAGACATAAAGTGAGAACAGGTGTTTGGCATATTCATTTCAGCTTTACACATGAGAAAACAAGTCATCACATTTCCCACAGTGATCCTGCTTCCACTATCGAGGAGGGCGGCATTACATTGAGGCTTAACATAATTGCACGTGCCAATTATGTTTATTGAGCTCTGTAAATAAATACACCATTAATGCCCAAGCCATAAGGTGAAAACAGATTAACTGTTCTGAAACAAACCCTACACCATATGTGTTTTCAGCTACTGTAATAAAGAGATTGGTTGTGGAGGGGTTAGTATAATACGTTGTGCAGGCTTTGGATGAATGGAATGAAAATTTCACTGAAAAACCCAAATAGCTCCCTTTGAGGTATATTTTCAAAATACACATTCACCCACACTACATGAACAAAAATAATGTCTGCACTTTGTTAAAGAAAAGGGTTTGACAGTTAAATGCTACAAAAGGAGAAAAATAAGCCCTGAACACCCTTTCACCATAGCATGAACTATAGTAGTTATTTTACACTTAAAATAGTTGGAAATACATTGAGCCTAAAAAGATGTAAAACCCCAGTTCTAAAGAGAAAAAAATACTTCATGTCTGTAATAGGAACACCTGAAGCAGACATCATTATTAATATTCACATTTAATGTCAAATAAATGTCTTAACCTTCAAAATATTGTGAATCAAGTGTCCCTGTTACCAGTACAATAATACAGTAACTTTTAATGAAACTGTCTGCAGCTGTCTTTTAAAATGTTGGCCTTTGCCTTTCCTCTGTACCAACATCACTTGGAAATCACCTGACCTGTTATTTATTTGCCCAAAAAGTCATTTCTAAAATGCATTGGTGCAATTACAAACTTTAGATGAGTACTCTAGCAACTTTGTGTTGTATTTCAATAAAGTTGATGATTCACAAGAGATTGAATAAAAACAAGAAAAACAGCAATAAAGAATTGTCTAAATCAAACCAGCATAGGCTAAGATATCCTGATGTTTTGTCCCCAGTATGGGTCAAACTCCAAAAACACTTAATGAGAGCATTCAAACTTCATACCATCAGTTTGCAATGTACGCTCCTCCAGGACATTTCAGTCAACATGATATCAGTGATGACAGATTGTGAATGCTTCTCTCTTTGCATTTTCACTGCTTGTACCCCTCCTCCCACCGCTTCACACCGGCATGAGACATTCAAGGACTGTCAGCCAAATTTAAACATAGCAGTTTGGACAGGGTGTAAGAGTCAAATGCCTTACAGAGACACTTGGCTATGACACCTTCATGAGCAGTGTGGCTATGTGTGATGTCTATTCATTATTTAACATAAAGGGCTGAAAGTGCAGCAGAGCAAAAGCATGTCAGTATAATGTAATGAACTCTAATTTGGATGCACATCATTCAGGTTCACCGGAGGAATCTGTGCCCTGGTGGTGTACCACTGCTTGCTGTATAATGCATCTTTTCTTCTCATGTATGACATTTTTAATACTGAACATATTGCTTTGTGATTGTACCTCACTGACTAATATGAACTGCACAATATTTTTCAATTTTTTTTTTCATGCCCAGTGTGGAAATTGGAAAAGGGTTAGTCACAATTCCATTGCTTGCCAACAGTCTAGGGTGGGGGATGTTATAAAAATAAAATGGGATCATGTCTTATTCAAATACATCTGAAGGAACATTGCTTCTATGGAGGCTTATGCTCCACTCGGCTAGCGATGTCTACATCCTGCATCAGCTCCAGAACTGGATGACTGAATACTGTTTTTTTTTTTTTGCTTTTGTTTTTTTTAGGGGCTTTATGATGGAAAATCATATAAACTGCAAATATGTATGTTTTGGAGACTGAACAGCAGGAGTCCTAGAATCATTCTGCTGGAACGCTTCATGTATAAAAAGCCAAACTGCCTGTAACCCAAAAATGCAGCAGGGGGTGTTTATGCTTGATGTGCACAAAATTTCAAAACAATCTATTTTCAAATTGCCTTGACTTGCTGTCCAATTTCTCAAAGTGAAGTATGATGCTTCAGAGGGCTGTCATCAGTTGTGTGGGAAAAGGAATAAAAGACGAATGCAAGAAATGGTCTTCATGGGTTAGTGCTGCCTCGGCAGTATTTGCTTTATATGACAGCGACAATCAAAAAAAAAAAAAAAAAACAGCAGTTGCTGCCAGTTACTGTTATGCATGCAAGCTCACAATGACAGTGTTGTCGCTTTGATTTCTGTATAACACACTCCTCTCATCCACGCAATATGATGGAGCTAAACAGGAGAAAACACTGTATAGTACAACAACATGCCAAACTCTCAGATCATCCACAAGGCCAAGACAGCGTCTCAGTGCTAAACATTTTTGAAGGAAAATATTTGGAAACACAAAACAACGTGGCAAGCGCTGCCAGCTGAAGGGAGCTGGAACTCATAATGCTGTTGTGTATAGAATATGCAGAGCTGAAAATGGCTGTTTTGTGATATGAATGAAGTCATTAAAAGTATTGAATTCTTCATCCCCAGCACAGTTGTTTATACATTTTGTGGTGATATAAGCTGTTGTAATAACTTTGGTAATAGCTTCAGGTCAAATTTTTAATTGGACAGATTCTGTTTATTACCAAATACCTGCAAAATTAATGACATTAGCCTCTGCTATTGTTCTGAACTAATTAGCATTAGCACAGCATGCTAACAGGTTAACTCTATCAGATGGTGAACTCTGGTAATATCGTGGTAACATCAAATGATGTGTGTAAAGTAACCTTTGTAGCCCACAAGCACCCATTGTGGCCTGTTTGTCTGTGGTACCTGAACTGTGTGATGTGGCATGAATACAGAAAGTCAGTCCCACTCTACAGACTGCAGCAGCCAATTGTAGACAATGAAGCTTGACAGCCTTTCACATCAGCACAGGTTAACCAGCTGTGAAGGGAACACCTGCTGCTG